TATTTATTATATATAATATAATAAATTACGAGGGCTGCTATATATATTTCTGGCCTAGGCAACACTATATGTTGCCAGGTGCAATCTGACATTTCTATTGGAAAGGTTGACATTTTTTAGCATAACATCACTTAGTACGTGTTGTCATTTAATTGTGAGATGTTTTATTTACAGATTTAAAAAATTCATCTCGGTCAAAATATGGAATTAACACGTGAACATTTTCGTGCGATCATTTTTCACAACTTCTGACTTGGATTATCTCGACAAGAGTGCATTGATGAATTTAAATCTTTGTATGGCGATGAAGCACCATCTTATAGCACTGTGAAAAACTGGTTTAATGAATTCAATCGTGGCCGACGCTCGCTCAACGACGAATTCCGTGAAGGTCGTCTAAAATGACCGTTGTGACAGAGAACATTGATGCTGTGCGTGAACTGATAATGCAAGATCGTGAAATAGAGGTATCCTTGGGCATTTCTCTCACCAGCATACATTCGATATTGCATGAACACTTGGCCGTAAAAAAGGTTTGGTCTCGTTGGATCCCGCATAATTTGACAATCGCTCAAAAGAAAGGCTCGTGTCGATTGGTGCAAAGAAATGTTAAAAAAATACGATTGCGGTGCTTCAAAATACGTTTATAAGATCGTCACAGGTGACGAATCATGGATCTATGCGTATGAGCCGGAAACAAAACAACAATCCACCGTGTGGGTCTTCGAAGACGAGCCAAACCAACGAAAGTTGTTCGTGGAAGAAGCACTTCCAAGCGAATGGTCGCCTGTCTCTACGGCAAAACTGGTCATGTGGCGACTGTTCGACTTGAGCAACGAAGGACGATCACTTCTGAGTGGTACACCACAATTTGTTTGCCTGAAATCTTCGAAAAAATTCGAAAAGACGAATCAATGTTCACCATGACAACGCGAGCTCTCACACATCGGCTCAAACCAACGCCTTTTTGTTCGGCCAAAACGTCGAACTGATGGATAATCCGCCGTACAGCCCTGACTTGGCACCCAAGGCCCTATCTAATAATATTAACAAAAATTGTTCATATTATGTGTATCTTTTCAATATTTTTCAAAATCTGAATTAATTGATATAACATATAGTCATATAATGAGATACTAGTAATAAAGTGATCACATATCCCTTAATTGTTTTGTATTGGTGTTGCATTATATAGACAACTAATTGGATTAACTAGTTGATTCAATTGCATGTATTCAAAAATAATATATCAGAGAATGTAGAAAAACGAATTTTTTGCATACGAACTATTTAATTATATAATTAATCTTATTATATAATCAATGTTATCAGTCAACTTCTGATTTAATATAGATTTACTGTCTATGCTCTGCATTTGATAATATTCTACAGAAAACTGTGAGTTGTTAGTAGCTTATAAGTAAAACATCTTAAACCCATCCACTTAGATATTATAAAAATAAAACTACAAAAGGAGGTAAAATTTTTGGGTATAATCTTTGACCAAAAATTACTATGGAAAAAAGATGACGGGTCTTAGGGCCAACAGTGACTCCCCCACTAGTGAGCTGGTGTATATAGACTATGCAATAGATACTGGGAAGCATTGGGAAGAAATGTCACCAGCAGAAATATATGCGATAGAGAGATGCGCCAGTTTTAACCTTGAACGTAACTACCGGAACCATAAAATTGCAATACTGACTGACAGCCAGGTTGCTATAATGGCACTCGTATCGTATCAGTTAATATCCAAACTGGTATGGGAGTGCTCTGATAAGCTAAACTTACTCGGTTGGAACGATTAAGGTGCACTTGATATGGATTCCGAGGCATGCTGGTGTCCAAGACAATAAAATGGCAGACAAATTTGCAAAAAGAGACGCGGTTTTAATAATGATAGGTCCAAAACCTTTCTTTGATCTAGGCAAAGGAAATTGATCGATTCTTATGAACGGCACAGAGACAAAATAAAGAGAACTCTATTGGGAAAGCTTACTATCAGAATTCAATATACTTTTAGAGCCTTATAACCTAAAACTCTATAACAATCAAAGTCACTGTAGATTGAATAACTTAACGATGTTAGGCATTCAATCCAACTCAGGCTGCTCATACTGCAGAGAAGAGAAAGAGAGAAACTGTATACCATGTGTGCTTGCAAAGTGCTTGGCACTGCTGATGCACAAGCGGAAAAAACACATAGGAGGGTATTTCATGGAACAAGACTAGGAAATATATGCTCTATCTTTCATTAAGGAAATCGGACTTGGAAAAACACTCTAATCCAACTAAGTGACACAATAGATATATTAGTTCGTAATGAACTAACGTTTTTCATAACAATAGTAGCGTATTCTGACAAAAAGATTGTACAGGGGCTATAACGATGAAGTTGAAATAGAATCCATTAATCGCTTTTCAAGTCTTTGTTTTGGACTACAGGCAAACTGACTTTACAGTCTTGGACCACAGTGTTGGGCCATTATATGGAAGATCGAATGATTGATGAAAGACATAACAACGATTAGTGGACACACTGGGCACACGTCCTCTCAACCTATCCTAACATGTTGATAATTCTATGTGCTGATTAGAGATATATAATTACACTAATAACGATTTATTTTCTCAAAATATTGTCGTAAGTAAAATATGTAAACACTCTTTTACTGCCTTTTATAAATAGGCTGTCAGCCTGAGTCAATAATAACTGGCGTAAACTATACTAGAACATCAAAAACTCAAAAACGAGATGCTTGACTAGAACAAAGTTTGTGGTTTGAGAAAATATAGATGCCTCATGATATTGATTATCTTGAAAAGAGATAAATCATTAATTGCGAATATTGTGAATAAGTGCGTTTCAAAAAAAAAAAAACCCAAAAATAAATACCGCACGTGAAGAGAACAGATAATAATGCACCGTGTTATAGGTCTGTAATACAATCGTCAAATATGATGAACATACTCTTCCACCGGCGTATTATGTACTATGTGTCTGATCTTCTAGTGCCTACTAATATATTTACAATGTAAAGATTAAAGTTATTATTTTATTGGAATTAATTTATTATTTTTAATATTTTTATTTTTATCCATATATTTTTTACCGCTACTTATGATTTTAGATGTGTGCTTAGTGCAATTTTTAGCATCAAATCAATAAATTATTTTTTTTCCCGATTCCATATAAAACTATCAAGTTTTATACCATTGTATAATGGTATACAATGGTCATACAGTGTCAAATTTGTACCATTCAACCAGCTATACCTATTGCTTTACCCTGATAATTTCTTCTATATAAGCACACTTTAAACTTAAGTACTAGAAAATCTTTTCATTTTATTTAAATTTGGAAGTGTGGAGTTAAAAACATTCTTAAGCTTATTGAACTTAATCTGTTGGTGTCTTCTGCCTTCTTTTCAAAACTATATAATTGTCAATATTTTAACGTTTACTTTATGACAAATACTATGTAGTTTAAAGATATTGTTTCTCTCTTAGTATTTTATATGCTATAGATTCAACTTCGTTTGTCATTAACTCGTTTGTTCTATGAATACATATACAAAGTAAGAATAGTACGAATGAATTTAATTAAACTTTATATATGATATATTTCCTATATCTCTGGAACTAAAGTAGGTCTAAGAAACCGAACAATACATTTTTTTTTTCTGTAAACAGATAATGATCTGAGTTTGGTATCCAGAAGTACACTTCTTTTGTTAAGTTTAATAACTTACTCGTAATTGTCTAAATTCATTTATCTAAAGAGTAATCAAGAGCTACCAGCGGTTGCTAATAAACCCGTGTACTAACGTCTTATTAGACCGCTGTGATAATACATCCTAACAGTCATCTCTCAGAAAGATGAAAATGATAAGATAATGCTTATACTGTATTGGATTGTTATGAATTAAATTATTTTGTTTTTGTTTTGAAAATGTAGTGATCTTTCTAGAGACACAATAGCAACAACTTAAAAATCACTTAGACATTATAAATTAGTAGATAGCTCTGACTATGGACATGATATCAAACATTAAATTTATACCTAAAAATCATTATAACTAAGTTTCATTTAAATGTGAGTAAAGTTCTCTAAAATGGTGGAAAGATTAAAATTGACTTTTGTACACAACAAATTGCGAGTTTTTAACGTATTGTTCTAAAAGATCGAAACTTATAATGGAATATATAGCAAGTTTCCCAGATAGTAAAATCTTAGGCTTATATATAAAATTCATTCTTGTTTAAGTCATAATGACAGATGACCACCAATCGCGCAATATATAGCAAGTCATCCTGATAGCTTAATCTTAAGCTTGTATATAAAAGTTATTTATGTTTAAGTCATTCCGACATATCGAAAATAATGATGAAAACTGTAAAAAGTCTCCTAAAAAGCTTAATGTTAAGCTTATATTTATAATATCCGAGCTGAAGGCCCTGGCAGCTAGCGCTCGTTTTTCTGGTCTTAGTTATAAGATTTTATATTTTGTAATTAATTATAATAAATTAATAAATAAATAAAGCTTATATATAAAAGTCATGCTAGTTTAAGTCATTCCAACAAATCGAAAATAATGATGGAATCTATAGCAAGTCTTCTTGAAAGCTTAATCTTAAGCTTATATATAAAAGTCATTCTAGTTTAAGTCATTCCAACAGATCGAAAATAATGATGGAATCTATAGCAAGTCTCCTTGAAAGCTTAATCTTAACATACATCTTAATAAATAAAATAAAAAAATTGTAAAAAAAACTTATATAAAACGTAAATAGTTGCATATATGTAAAAGCATTTTATATACGTAAGATAAACATTTTTTCACAATTACATTTTCATTCATTATGGTTATTATCTTAAAGATATGTATCTACGCTTGAGTTAGGTATAATTAAACAAAATAAAAAAAAACTGAAAAGCAGAAAAAACACTAGAAAACTTAAAAGTAAAAAAATAAGCATGGGAAAAATGTAAATATTACTTGTAATTTGTTAGTAGATGATGTGGATGTTCGTGATCATATGAGGGTTCCATTTTACGACGACGTTGTTGCGGCGGCGGTAGCAGCAGCAAGTTTCGATCCAAGTTTCAACAGGGCTAAAAACATTTTGTTTAATGTAGCATTATTCCGTTAGATTTCCCTCGCTGCTTGGAAGTGGTCTACAACGCCGCAGCGTACACTTTAATTTATTTCTAACAATTTATATATATGTAGTATGTGTATGTATGTATGTATGTAAAAGGTGAACATATGTATATCTGTAGCTATATATACATATCTCTGCACTTGTATATATGCTGAAAATACATCTTTTTTATGTTTCTTTGCGTCTTGATTCGCTTTAAAACTTTATAAAATATGCAAAATATCGCAATATTTAATTTTGAAACTTAATTTATGCAATTTTTCATTCAGCACTCTAGACTTTTTGTATATATATTCATTTATTATAGAAACGCATATATAAAATATGAATTTTCAACAACAAGAACTATGCACTTAACACTTGTTAATTAAATCTTTTTATTGAATAAATATTAATGTAGGAATTTTTTACAAAAATTTATTATTATTTATTTATTCTTCGTTATTTCAAAATATTATTTTAATATTAATTTCAAAACACTTTAGACAAGAAAAACGCAAAAAAAAACAAAATAACACTAACACTGTTAAAAAATAGTTGTATTAAGATTTCTGTAGCGCTTTTTGGGTAACAGAATTAAAATTTTATCACACTGAGAAAAACCAAAAACAAAAAAAAAACTTTAAAAAAAAATAATGCAAAATAAAAAGGTCATTTGCAGTCACAACAAGTGTAGAGAAACACGTTAACGTTCACGAAAAGTCTTGTGAAGACTAATACTAGCTTGTCGTCTATGTAGTGCTTGGCATCAAGGGCTAACAATTTACTGCTCGCGCAGCGTTTCGAAATGCCAAGTCGCGCTCTGGGAACTAACTTCAAACTAACTAAAATCAACTTAACTATATTTCCGCAGCAAACAGAGCACGAGCGACGGCACTACTAAGCTGATATTAGACGTAGGTACAGTTTAAGGCTTAAACGAAGACTAAATCTTAGGCCAGAGTATGAATGTTTTATTACCAATAACATGAACATGTACAACTCTTTCTCTCATGTTCTCGTCGTATTCTCGCAAACTCAGGTCAGACTGTGAAGAATTGTACGCTGTCTTTTGAACCCCTGCCCAGTTGACTGTGACGGGAGTACGTACGGCATATGACGACTTTAATAGTACAAGTGTGTATAAATTATACTAAATAACAAAAAAAAAACACCTTCCACAAAAACAAAAACAAAAAAGAATATATAAAAATAAATATAATTTAAATTAATGAATTCATTAAATTACGGAGATTCACAAATTTTCAAAGCCGCTAATCTGTAATGCTCGCTCGTGTATCTGTGTTGATCCGTTTGGATAAATTGGATAAGAGAGCCGCTTTGGTGATTTTTAATTGGTGGAGCTGTTGGCTTTATACCTGCTTTTAAGATTGTGTTTATTCATATATAATGCTTAAATGATTCGCTTGTATTGGATATTTTTAATAATATGTAAATTTTTTAAAATATTCATAGTTTGGGTCAGAATTAATTTTTTTTTATACTAATTGATGAAGTGTATGTGAGTGATGAGAGCAGTATAAGCTACTTCGAAAATTTTAATATAAAGAAAGAAATTATTGTAATAATGTTGTATACATTAAAAAAGTTTTACAAAAAATTATTATTATTTATTTAATTTAATTTAAACTAATTTTATTTATTAATTTATAATTTCCTTTTAAATCAAATATACGATATTTGTTATAATTAATGGTAGTTTGAACTTTTTTGCTATTTACTGATTCATTCACCATAACTCCATCTTATTTCCTAAATTCTGTAAGATTCAAATTTTACTGACCTATTTTTTAGAACTACTCAGAGTTCACATTATCTTTCTATTTACTGATCTTTTAATAGTTTGCATTATCTTTCTATTTACTGATCTTTTTCATGTACCATAAACCCCCATCAAATTTATGGAATTCCATTAGATTCAAATTTTACTGACCTATTTTTTATCACTACTTGTAGTTTGAATTATCTTTCTATTTACCAATCTCTTAAATAATCTATAATTCACCACAATTTTAGCTCGTTCACCACAAACCCTATCATATTTATTGAATTTCGTTAGATACAAATTTTACTGACCTATTTTTTATCACTACTTGTAGTTTGTATTCTCTTTCTATTTACTGATCCCTTTATTAATCTATAGTTCTTATTTAGCTCATTTGACATAAACCCCACCAAATTTATAAAATTTTGTAAGATTTAAATTTTACTGCCCTCTTTTTCAAAATTTCATAAACATTTATTTGAGCTTATTTTAATATATCTAAATTGAATTATAAAATATACTCGTAAAGTCTAAATCTGCAGTGTCCTTGACTAGATCTAAAAGTTATTCTTCGTTATTTAACTTCACAGCATAGAGGTAAAGAGCGTTAGCCGCTAGACGAAAACGCGGTAAAGGACGTCCGCTTCTTTAGTAGAAGAATCAGGTGACTTATGATTTGAACGCATTCAGTACTACCAACTAGCGATAGCAAACCATCGATAGGGTTAACTGATGAATGCTACTATACGCGACAAAGACTATAGCAAGGTATCCCGTTTTTAAAATTGTGTTTAATGTTGTGTGTGTACTTATGCATCAAATTCTATATGCATATATAGAACCCCTATGAAGCATCATTGATAGATATTATAATTATTTACTATACGAGTACAACTGTTACGAATAAAAAGAAGGCATTGAAAAAATATTAGTTTTTTTAAGCCTATAAATATAAAATCGATCTAAGCTTCATTTCACTGTGAATATATATAACTAAGTACTTTAAATAAAATTTTTGAGTGGTTATTTTGACTTGCTGCCATTCAGTACGTTTACTCCTTTCTATGATATGGTAATTGGCCCTACCATGATACTTTCCCTTTGAAATTGGATAAAAAACTTAAAAATTCGGTGCAATATTATGTATAACATATTTAATTGGTATTTTGAGTTTATGTCCCTCTCAACCTTTACTCTTTCTTATGACATGGTGAATGGTCTGCTATAGTGTTTGGCTTGTATTTTATATAGTATGTTAAATGGTTATTTCTGTTGGTGTCCTTTAGAACTGTTACTCTGTTTTACATACACATACTTGCATATGTTCCACATTAAATGTGTATAATCCGATGTTTTACTATACTTTTTCATTATGTTCCTTGTTTAAGTTTTAAGTCTCCGGATATCTTTCTTCGTTACCTAAATTTTTCAGAACTTTCATTATTATTATCGTATTGTTATTTTATTGAAATATTTCCCTAATTTGTCGTTGCTGTATTTTCTTCCACTTCAATTTTTGATCCTTAAAAATATTTTCAAACTGATTTATTATTGAACTGTGTCTAATATTCTTAACGTTTTATTTGAGAATCTTTCAATATTCCTTAGAATGGGTTTTGATCGTATTTTTTTACATGGATTATTTTTTTGTCATTATATAAACAAATATTATATTTTTTTATTTAATTATCATTAGATAGAAAAAGGTGAAGAGACAAATATAAAAGAGGTATGACCTCTATCTAGTCTTAAGACCATATTTTATAATTCCATTACATTCTATATTAATATTGTTGACTTTTAGTTTTATTGGATATTATCGGTGCTGTGGTATAATGTATTATTTTCGTTTTGCCTTTACAAAAACAATATTAATGTAATAACTTATTCTCATTGAATCCTAATCCTAATCGTCTATTGAATTTAAAAATTATAAGTTATGTACATAGATTTAATAAAAGAGGTAATATATCTATATTCTATTGAAAAAGAATACATAGTATATGCAAATGTTTCTTTTTGAAATATTACCACAAATTATAAATTATAATACTATAAATCCCGGATATAGATTTTCTAGAAACAGTGTTCAGGATCACAACGAATAATAAATATAATATGAACATTATTCAAAAAAATTTTAAATCTTAAAAAATATTTTGTCTATTGAAGAAAGTTCTTTGAGTTGCAAGTGATCACTAAAAATTCCCTGAAGGAACGACAACCTAACGAAAAATTATAATTAGAAAAACAGGAATAATTTATAATTTTATAAGATTTATTAATATTATTCAGGAAATGTTATAAACAGAAGGTTTTTATGAATCTGTTCAATTAAAATGTTAAAGCCAAGAAATGACTTCAATTAAAATGACTTTCTCAATGATTTATTCTTCCTAATTTTAAGTCTCATTTCAATACTCGTAATAGGATAATGCTGCAATATACGTAAATACCTGAACTGTGCTAACTACCAGCACTTTTTCTGAATGCTACTTATAAACAAGTATAAAATTAAATATATTTGTTTTAATTTTTTTGATTTAATTGAATTTAATATGATATTATATTGCATGTACAAAGTAAATTTTCAAAAGCTAACTTGTATTTTTCTTATTTAATATTGTTATTGAATATTAATGAACTATCAGATTTATGTTATTTATTAATCAGAAGATACACTACGCTTTTTACAAGTCTTTAACTTGTAAAAGACTATTAATATCGACAAGAAACTATCTTAAAATATCTTAAGATTAGTTAGTGGTCCAGTTAAGTGAGTACAACGTACCCACTATATTGTATTGTAGAAAATTTGGTAATTTTCGTATATAAAGTGCAATTCTTAACATTGAGACTTTTCTCAGAAATTTTTTTTTAGAATTATTTTATTATTATTTTTTATTATTAGTTCTTCTTACTTTTTAATATTTATAATCCATTAGCTGGGGCTTAGGCTGTTTCTTATTTTCTTTCCTTTAGTCTTTAGGGCTATCAATTGCCATGAATGAGTGAAGTGATTCATATAAGATATAATTGATTTAAGTTAAATTAAATTAAACCTGATATCAACTTTTTTCTACCAGATTTTAAAAATATCTATAAGTAAACCAGCTATTAAAGACATATTAATTGTGTCACTTAATAACTACGGTAAATAATAAAAATTTTAAATTTTTTATTCTAATCTCACTGATTTTTTTCATTGGTTATTTCTTTTTTCTATTATGAACCGTAATAGTTGCTCACATTTGTGGATATAAATATTCTTTGTGGAAAAGCTGATGATATAGCGATTAAAACTTTCTTATTCATACATTAATATAGTTTTTTACACATATTATACTGAAAACTTTTCTTCGTAGAAAACACTCACCATATTTCCTAACAGTTGTCCACATTTTAACGAAAAAAGTTCTAGGCAAGCTTCAAATTTATTTATTAATATATTTTTCAACGCAAGAATTTTTCAAAATTTTTACATTAAGTTATTCTATTACTCTCCGCATATCAACCAAATAAATAAAATTAGCAGGAGCTCAGACCTGAAAACTATTCTAGGTGTTCAGCAATTCAATTTACACTGCGTATAATTTCATCATTGTTGTCATTGACTTATCCTGACAGAATAGTATATTCTATTTTTTTTATTACTTATTTTGAGAATATTAAAAGTTGTATATCAAAAACCACTGTAATTTATCATCCAATTTACTTGTATACCTATAATAGGAGCTTCCTTTTGAGACGATGTTAGCCAACCATCTGAAAGCATTTTAAGCTTCGTCATAGATTCAAGGTGGTTTTTAAACCTATGTGTATCTTATACGGTGACATAACCTATCCTAAACTAGTTTTCAATGGTACTACAATCACTATAAACTAGGTATTAAAGATTAAAACGCATAATACATTTTAAAAGTGTTAAGATACGGGAGTGAGTACAATGTAGAAAGGGTGTAGAGTTTCACGAGTGCTTTCCATTCTCGCGCTAGATGATATACTCACCACGGGTAATGGGGACTTTTTGAGTATCTACAAGATCTAGAATTCGCCGATAGTGTCATGCTATTAAGTCACAGACTAATAAATCATAGCAGTTGATATGCACCATACGCGAACAAGCAGAGTGTGCCGGTTTAAGGATAACTACTGAAAAAAAAATCCATGGCGAACGGATACAGCGCACTTCAAAATGTAAGGTTGCATGTACGTGGTAGAGAAGAAATTGAATGTGTAAACTCTTTTACCTACCTGTGAAGCTTTGTGACAAATAAAAACGGAGCTAATGAATATGCTGATGCTTGGACCAACAAAGCTGAAGCCGCAATCCAGTGAACTCAGAAGGCAGATCAAACTGCGAATCTTCAATAAAAAAGTGAAGTCTATCTTATACTACGGTTGTGAAACATGGAAGCACTCCAGGTATATAGAGAGAAAAATGCAAGTGTTTGTCAATAAGTGTCTACGTAGAATTCTCAAAATATTGTGATCAGATTGAATATCAAATAAACGCCTGCTGAACCAAACGACACAAAAATTAACACAAAATGAGATAAAAATGAGATAAAAATGAGATAAAAATGAGAATGTGGAAGTAGATAGGCCATACGCTTAGACGACCGAGAGATCACATAGCGAGGCAAACGTTGGCATGGAATCCACCTAAAGCCCTGGTGCGCCAGCGAAAACGTGGAGAAGAACGGTCTAAAGTAAGCTAGCTAAAGCACGATATAAATGGAACGACATCCACAGAGATGTATCAAACAGAGACAGATTTAAAAGAATTATTGAGGCTTTGTGCCCTACTAGGGGAAGTTGACAATATTTAAATTTTAATAACTTTTTGAATAATATAGTGTGTTTAAAACTAAAGAGTTTGTTAATTTCTTAATTAATAAAAATAATCCAACAGCAATTAAAAGGTGAAAGCAACGTTTTTGTATTATACTTTAATGTATTCCATTTCATTACATTACATTATCATATCAATATATTTTTGTGATAATTATCAAGCAACAATATCAATTTTATTTTAATAATAATGATATTTTGGACAATTTATTATAAGCTGGCGCTAACTCTACAAATACTTACAAATGATCCCAAATCGGCATCCTGATGTCTGTGCAAAGATATAAAAGAAATGAGCTTAATATATAAAAAATTATAAGTTTTTTTTTCTAAGCAAATCGATATCATAATCAAAACTGACTTAAGTACTCATATTTGCTGTCGTACCTACCGCAGCATTTGCCAGTGCAGCAAGAAGACGGACGTCCACGTTAGTAACAATCAACAGTATTGCACATGCCAAATGCATATCAACAATGTGAGGTCGTTTGCTTCTTCAAAGGATAAAACTACGCCTCATCTTTGATAAGAGGTAAACTGCACCTTCAACGTGTGTACATGCCCACTACACCAAAACTACATGGAAACGAGTAAAAAAGATATATAAATATGTGAGTATACATATTTATACATATTTGCATATATTCGTACGAGTATAAGGAGTTTGGTTAAGTTAACATATGCGCCAAATTATAGAAGAAATTCACTAAAAATATTAGGACTCTTAACAAATACGCGTACTCGCATGGAGAGCTAATGGAGTCGCTGCTAATATTGAACTAACATTAAAACATGTGAAGCAATAATCCAAATTATGTGTACTTTGTATAAGCACAGAGTCGATATTATTATCGAAAATTTGTTTATTACGTTCAAACAGAGATCTATAGGCGATAGGAGCAGCAATATCGCACGCCCACATTCTCGGAGCGCACAAAGCATGGCAAACGGCTCAGGCAATGACTTTTTGCGGTATACGCGAATCTTCTTGCGTTTTAGCGTACGCCACTCACCTGTTTTATCCAAGAAATAAATATTTTTATTTTGTGGTGCGCCAAGTTTTCATTGAAAACCGCTTTGATCCTAAAATCATTCGATAAAACCTCGAGAAAAAAAAACGAAACTCGTTATGGACCTTTTGCGGTTGCTCCCTTAAAATATCGTAAAGTAAAAACAAAAAAATGAAGAGAAGTCAGACTCAGAGATTACACATATGCGCTGCTGCCCCTAGCAATAAAAAAGATCAAATCGTAAAATTCGCAAATAAAA